TTCAGCATTTACCAGTTTTATTGCCTCGCATCTTTGCATCACTTCTAAGTCCTTTAAGCCGAAGTTTAGTCTATATTTAACTAAAWGAGTACGTGATCAAGCTTCCGTGCACTTGAGGTCTTTCGAATATGAAAAATTATACAGAAAGTTGATTTGTAATAGCTGACGACTCGCAGCAGGCAATAATAAAWCTCTGAGCTTGAACCACAATTTTCGATTTTGTATTTGAAATAGAAATTCTTATTTAAAAAAATTTCATATGGTCATTGTTCTTAGTAAAGATTGTGTTTGAAAACGGAAGTAGATATTACTTAAGAAATATTTTCAATACTTTATAAAATATAAAAAATAAGCTGTCGTTGTATTCATAAATTTGTTATATCACATTCTTATATCTTTATTTACTTTTGGGACATCGAGATTATTTTTTATTATTAGTAGTCCACACAAAAGTCCAAATTTATTGGTTGATTTTAGTAAAATTATTTGATTCTCTCGCGAACTTTAAAAACTATATACTAAAAATATAAAAAATGTTGCCTACATTAAGGCGCGTATCAGCGAAGACACACACCTAAATGATCAACAAAAAATACTATTATACAGAAAAAATTATATGTTTATATCAATGTCCATTAAAATTGAAAAATTAATTAAGAAATTAGTTTCATTAACTAAAGTCAACTTAAGAAAAAAAAAAAACAATAAAAACTTATATATTGTGCATTTCAGGTATTATATCCATACGATTTCTCTCCGAAAATTTCAACGTGAACCAATAATACTGTTTCATTTTCAGACTTGATGAGATAATCTCCACGAAACGGCTGTAGCGATCAGCTTGAAATTTCCACACGACATTCCTACTTATATTTGTCAAGTATTGATCGAACGAATAAGATTTGTATAATAATTTCGATTTTTTAAGCCAAGTTTTTCCACAAAAAACGACTTTTGGGAAGGTGCCATTTGTCAAAAATCAGAATTTTGTCTGGTTCTTCGACCATTACATGTACTTATCAATTGTATTAATATTTTTGTTTTGCTTTTGACTTTGAGATAATTTTAAGCAGAAAAATCTTCCTCGCCGTCAAACATCACATTTCGGAGGCCTTCTTGTAGATCGGCTACGGGATCAAGGGAATTTTTGTTTTCTTTTTCAAAATAATTATTTATGAAAGTATAATACATTTTGTAAATGTATATTTATTTATTTTTTTATTATATAAAATGCTTCTTCCCAAAAGAGTTCTCGAAAAAAGATTTTTTCCTGATTTACTATACCTCCTTAATGCATAAAAGAATTTTTTGGAAATTCCCGCAATTTTTTTTTCAAAATTTCAAACATGTATTATTTTATATTATAAAACGATTAAGTMTTCACGTATAAACTTTACGATTTTCAAATATTTCAAATTCAAATTATTCGTGTATAAATTTGAATGTAGAACACACACTCGTTTGGCTTTCGAACGGTCATCGCATTCCTCATAAATAATCTAATTTCATAGATACATTTTCGATTGTGCAAACCCGAATGCTTTATGCAAATTGATAAGGCAAACAAATAATAGAAAATATATGATAGAAAGGTAACAGTCAGCTGAGTGGCAGGCGTCGGCGGCGCCGCTATTTTGAAGTGGCGTTTAGACATTCCTTCGAAGACACCAAAATCGGCATGACTGCTTGTTTGGCTGACCAAAATAGCATATATGTATGTATGTATATATAATATATTTAATGGGTTTTTTTCCTTTCCTACATCTATTCTCAATGTGCCGTTATCAGATTGTGTGCTATAAAGTTTAAACAATGCTGAAGCGTTGAGCGATAGCAAAAATATGAAACAAACCATCGGCGGCGAATTCATATGGGCAATGTGGATATTTGCACCTTTTGCTAATATTATTATACTTGCTGTTGATTTGTTATTGTTTACAYATCATACATATATATGTATGTACATGCCAATTTGTATGCACGTGGCTGTGTGTGAATGTGTGTGTGCGTGAAAGAGGCGTGAGGCGTACTATTTTTCCACCATTGCGTACCACCTTATTCCGCAATCGGTGCAGGGCATTGTCGAGCGCTGGAAGAAGCGATGATATCATCGTCATTTTTGTGCGAAGTCCATTTTACTTTTCACTTTGAATTTATCGCGGCATACGAGTTCATTTTTATTGTTGTGTGTTGTAACTATTCTTTTTGTTTATCAATTTAATTCAATATCTGTTGTTGTAATTTGGGTGTATTCTTGGGAAATTGCTGTACAACTAATATTCTTTGGATTTTTACTTTGGTGTGCTAATGACGCCAATTTTTATTTTCGACTTTTTTTTATCGCTTTACGTGCTTTCTGTGCTCGAGTGTTTTTAATTTTTCTAGCTAAAAAGTGCCTCAGTGGTTATTTGTAGTATTTACTTATATTTAAATTGATTGCAATTTTTTGCATATRCGCAATTTAGACTTCTTATGAAATTCTCTGCGGGAAATTTAATATATAGTTTACAAGTATTAATKACTATTACCCTGAAGAGGTTTTGCCACGAGGTTGGCAACACCCAGACGAAAACGGCGCAGAGCCTATAAAATATAAGTACATATAATATAAATGATTAGCATAATCAGCTGAGTCGATTAAGCCATGTCCATGTCTGCATATACCCGAAAGTGTCTCAGTCTTTGGGATATGGATCTGAAAATCGATTGAAATCAAGCACATATGGAAACCCYTTTCATTTGCCAGAATGTCTTAACGAAATTTAATGTGGATTATTGCCAAGATAACGGTAYAATCTTCGAATARATAATTMRGATTTAATCACTATAGCATATAGCTGTCATAGAAACTGATCGATGACACAGAAGTTTTTATATGAAAAACTTTTTGGTTTTACGAAATTTGGCACAGATTATTGTCTAAATCTATAACGTTGACTCTTTATATGTAAATACTAATCGAAACACTATAGCATATAGCTKTCATACAAATGGATTGTTCAAAATCAAGCCCTTATGTATATGGAAATTTTTTTTTATTTGTGGGCTTACATAGGTTTCTAAATAAAATAAAAAATAGCATTTTTCCAACAATTTTTTTCTCATATAAAAAATTAAATATTTTATTAGAATTTTTTATTGTAACAAACCAAGAAATTCTGATATTTTTGCATAAAAAAAAGCGATGCCAATGTGACGCCATTTCCGGTGACCCCTCGTAAAAAAGATGCGCATTGGCAGAATAACTTCTTACTGCATCACCGTAAGTAAAAAAAATACGTGTTTTAGTTAATTTTAAACTTGGACGAAGGAAAAAAACTAAAAATTGGACATTTTTACAAAAAAGTGAAATTGCCTGGTATTTTTCCTTAAATAGTTGTAATCCAAATTCGTCCAAATTTTTAAGAATTGTTTATCAGAGATCGGTTGAGTAGTTCTCGAGAWATCTTGCCAACCAACTTCAAAAACACAGTTTCCAACAAAACGTGTTTAAAGACGGCACACTAAGCCTAGCTAACCTAGAGCGCGCAAGTTCTCAAGGCTGTATCTCCAAAACTATTAATCAGATCAACTTGAAAATTTAGGACACGATTCTAGAGGTGTTGTAGAATTTAATAAAATATCGAGAAAATCGATTTTTTAAGCCCGTTAACCCATGTAAGCTCTTAAATTTGTTTTTCTTATTTTTATTAAAAATATAAATGTTCCGATTTCCARAAACAATGTTTTTCATAACTGTACWGGATTTTATGACRYTTTCTTGCTACTTTTCTCCTTGTCATTTGATCAAATCAGCGGGTTTCCTCACGTCGCTTTTTCCAAATTATTAATAATTGGTTATTAGTTTTTCGTTAAAAGCTGAGTACTTATATTATACAAAAAATTAGGTCAAAGTGGAGTGAATTTAACTGTTTCCTTGGAACTATTTATCATAGGTGTTCTCGTAGATATTTCAGTCAAGGATTCAGAACTATATTTAACTTCAACGCCTTTCGAACTCTCTATCAGATTTTCTAGTATTTTTGAAATGAAAGGATTCAAGTAGATTGGTTTATTACTATTATTTTTTTAAGTATAGAATTGAGAGTGTAAATGTTGGTTGTCCAAYCATCAGATTGCCAAATGTTACCGATTATGGAGGCGCATATACATATATCCAGCCCGAGCTGTACAATCAGCCGCACTTGAGTAATATCTTATGCTAGTACAACATGAACACTTTAATACACTAGAATTCTAAGCTTCTTAGTCTGTGTATATTAATATAAATATTATTACCAACTCATTATTAGTATACTAATTATAGGTCAGTTGGAAGCTCTGTTAAAGGATTAGCCTTTCCAAAGCAAGACCAACTATGGCAATTTTTCAGCCTTTATCAAAAATTCTTTCTCGATATTTACTAGAATTAGTACTTATACTGTGAATCCATTGSCGCCAGCTCCATAAAATACAGTTCCCAGAAAAACTCGTTTAAAGTTTTACGTTCTTAAACTAACTACAGATTGACCCAAACCGTTCTCACTCAATTATAATATTTATTTGCGTTCTCATCGATTWTTTCACGCATTGAGTCAATAAGATAAAMATGTTGCYTACATCTAGGCATAAATCAGCAAAGACACACACCTAAGGGGATATTAAAATGATCAAAAAAGCAGCGGATTGGAATTTTTTTCTCAATATAGTATAATGCTTTCAACACCTAAAGTGTAGTTAAAGCTAAAACAAATAGAGGTTTTGAAAATCCTAACTAATACAACTTTTATAATTTATGTTACATTTTTATTATGTCAAACAATTTTCAATAAATTTCYCGAATATAAAATTTTTAAATGATTTGCAAACTAGCATTAGAGTTCAAAGAAATGTGTTATTAGAAAGTTTAGATTTTATTTTAAAATTTTGTTAACAAAAAATTTTATTTGTAAGATTATTTAATTTACAAATGTAAATCAAGCAAAATGAAAAGTTTTCACGCTTTCTTTTATTTATTTTAGGCTTGCATTGATGATAATCTAGAAATGGTTGAATTTCTAATCGAACATGGCGCTGATATAAACAGACAAGATAATGAAGGCTGGACGCCGCTGCATGCCACCGCCTCATGCGGGTGAGTAGCCAATTGGCCAAATACTTTTGAAAGCGAAATTGATGATAATCAAAATATAAATAATTTTTTGCACCTTCTGCCACCACTTTCGCAATATTTATTACGTTTTTTTCTTGCTCATTTTCTGTTTTTGTTGTTTTTTTTTTTTGCTGTGGGCAGCTTCGTGAGCATAGCCCGCTATTTGGTGGAGCATGGCGCCGATCCGGCCGCTGTAAATAGCGACGGTGACTTGGCCGTGGACTTGGCTGTCGATATACAACATTTGGCGATGATGGATTTCATGCAAAAGGTGATGACTGAACACAATATCGACTGCGAGAAGGCGCGACAGGCGGAGGAGCAGCTAATGCTGAGCGATGCCAAGAAATGGTTGCGCAGCGATGCGTCCGAAGTGGATCGGCCGCATCCGAAAACAGGTGCCACAGCGCTGCACGTAGCCGCAGCAAAGGGCTATACAAAGGTGGGCGTTTATTAAATAMATTTTAAGCATAATTTCATTAAAAATTCAACACAATTWTCTTATGGTYTTTTTTAGGTTATAAGTTTACTACTCGCCGGTCGTGCTAATGTTGATAAACAGGACAATGACGGCTGGACGCCGTTGCATGCTGCATCACATTGGGGCCAAAAGGAGGCCGCCGATATGCTGGTCAATGCCATGGCCGATATGGATATACGCAATTATGCCGGTCAGACGTGCATCGATGTGGCCGATCGTAAAATGGCGAAATTCTTGGAGGAATTGCGTAGCACCAGCAATAAACGTGTCAAACGTCGTCCTTCTAGTCAAATCAGGTTGTACGTTTCATATAAATCACTCTACGTTGTTTTGTAATTTATTCCTTCTCTTTCTCTTCCCATGACGCAGAATCTCAGATAAAATTGAAAATCACATTGATAATACGCCAACGAAAATCATACGAGTGGAAGTGAAATCGGATCAGTCAAAGGATCAAGCGAATGGTATGTGCGCACACAACTCTACTGTATTTACGGATACGTTACGTAGATTTGTAGTCAACCATAACCTAAACATATTTTAATTATTATACCCTGACCAGGGTATATAAAGTCTCTCTACGTCCGTCTGCCTGTTCCTACGCGGATTACGTTTTTTCAGTTTTGGAGTTTTCGCTCTGAAATTTGGGCACGTCCTTTACTCAAAAAAAGGCATTTGGTGGAACTGTTGTTATCGGTCCACTATAGAATGCGGCTGCCATGCATGCTGACTGTGTAAAATCACGTTCTTGTATAGAATACTTTTTTATATGTCAAATTATTTTAACGAAATTTGGCATGAACTGTTTTAGGAGTCAGCGATAGAGTTTCTACACATGTTGTTCAGATTTGGCTGCTATAGCATACCATAGRCAGTCGTTTCTACGTAACCGGAACGGACTCGGATTTTTTTTTATCCGCTGAAGGACTGTCAAATCGGTTGAGTTCTGCCGCTATCTCTTTTAGGTACCCGTTTTAACGGTTATAATAACAATAACAACAAACTCTAGTTCTTGTAAGAAAAACATTTTTATTTGACAAGCTTTCTTCCGATATTTGGCATAAATTATTCTCCATATTGTTCGGATAGGAAAACTATAGCATATATCTGTACAAATTGACTAATAAAAATCATKATACAAATTTGTGTATACCTGTAAAACTATAACAAAAACACCTGTGAAGGGCATTACAGCTTCGGTACAGCCGAAGTGAATATTTTTTTGTGTTTAAATTAATCTTTTTATTTACTATGAACTAATATATTTTCAAATCAATTTTTTATCGTCCACTCCCCTTGTTCGTTGCCGTTTTTGTTTTGGTTTTCATTCTCATTGTTACTCTCAATTCTTTAGGTTCACATGGCCGTTAAGAAACTTCTTTCTTTGYGCACCAACTTAACTGCCTTTAGTTTAATTTTTATATATACAATTAAAAAATAAGTTCTACTGCCACACACTTGAGTTGTGCACGCGCACTGCCATTTTACCGTATACAAAAATTTATAATTTTTTTTTTGAGTTTACATTTTAACTTTACATTCGTTGGCATTTTCTACACGAAAACTTTAAACTTTTACGAGTAAATCCAAGTTATTTAMATACATATGTCATTTTGTATTGCATTATTCCCAATTGTACATGAATGACTGTGAATTATTTGGCTGCCATTTCCGTTACAACCACCCGGCTCATCGTGTCCATTGTGTGCCGTCCAAAATGCGTTTCTTGTAAATACATATGTTTACCTAACAGCTTCCATAACCGAAAATGAACTGCCAATGATCGATAGTAGTGATCAACTGGAGCCTCATAATCTGGCGCGTATAGCTGAGTATGATGAAACTGACTCTGAACTCACCGACTCAACAGAGAGCTCACACTCGACCAGCCTATCCGAACTTGAAGGTATCTTTGGTGAATGCGTGTGTATGTGTGTTTGTTTTTGTTTTATAATACTACAGCATTTCATGACGAAAGGAATTTCCTATTCCCACCATGTGGCGGATATGCTGTAGGAGTTATATATTCCGTTTATAATTGGAACTTGGTTTTGTATGTATGTATGTATGTATGTGCGGTTGATTATATTTAGCGTTATTTCAATTTTTTGGCCTATAACTCGTTTTGACTGTGACCATAACTGTGACTGGCGTTGGTAAACTTATTTGTGTTGTTTTTTTTTTCTTTTTAATATTAATTTGACCTAAGCGAGACAGTATTTTTCTGTAAACAAAAATGCGTTCCACTCTAATTGTTTGAAATATTATTATTTATTTTGAGTTTTTGCCATTTTTTAATAAAAGTTTTCTTTTCATGGTTTTGATTTCACTTTTCAAACTTAGCATTATTATAAAACCTTGCTTTATTSCAGATGAGAAATCAAAACAAACGCATGAAACTGTCAAACCATCCGCCGTTGCTACAACAGACAACCAAACGGTTGAGGATGAAGCGCCATGGCGACGCAACAGCTTGGCAAGAGCGCGCACACAAAATGAAAGTCCAACGAAAATTCGTGAGTTAAACACATATAACGGTTTCTTAATGACATTACTCATGCTTTTATCTGTTTTTACATTTACTAGAAGTTCCTGAAAAAGATGTTAGTAAAACTAACAGCACCACAGAGACATCAGATGTTATTTTAAGACGCACTCAGAGCTTCGAGCATGACGAGAAGTGAGTAACAAAAGCGCCCACTTATTTTGGCTAAATTTAAGTTATTTATTTATACCTTTTTTTAAGCACAAATTATGGTTATTTGCAAGTTATCTMTTTTCTTTGGCAAAATTAATCAAAAATATTTATTCATACTGTGTGTTTGTGTATGTGTACAGCGTCGCTTTTCATATTTTAAATTCATGCGCACAGATTTTTTTATTATGTATATTTTTATATACGTAGATATGTTATATTTCTTGCTAAATAACCAGAGCATATTTTCATCATTAGTCATAAATTGCCTTTCATTTATGCACTTGAGCTTTCATAAAATAAAATGCATATACATTAAGTTTAAAAAATATTTAAGTGAGGAATTTCTAAAATGTTATACATTTATAACAGGACTTCATTTTTGTCTTAAAATCGAAATATTTTGAATATTTATTGATTATGTTTTCGGCCGTTGAATTTTTTTTCGAATTTTTGCATTATTGAGGAAAATAATTTTTGGCATTATACACCACGACTTGTAAACGTACACTTTTTCAACATAAATTTGTTGCAAGCCAGCAGAACGCCTACAATTAGTCTTACTTAAGTGTTGGTATTTCATAAAAAAATTGCCGATCCAAATAGGGTTAGTTTGTGGAAATAACAACCCTTGGTCGGATAAAATCCGACTCAATTCTGATAACGTAGAACTCWATTCTGGGAATTTTTACGGCATTTCAAGTATGGACTCTGTTTCATACATAAACGCGTCTACGTAACCTGGTCAGAACCTGGTTTTATATGTCGTATGCTCAAGCACATATCAGACACTTTTTATTCGCTTTTACGTATCAAAGTGATTTCACTTTTACTAACACATACAACTCTACATGAGTAACAACATGCGTTCATATTTATTTTATTCGCTGGAATTCTTAGTTACCTTATTTTCTATTAAAAAATCTATACTCAAACATTTTGTCGAAACTGAGATAAGATTGCAAACAATTGTAGCGAGTAATTGAAGCATTCGCGCAGATATCGCTGCTTATCGCCAATAAAGTTGAGAAGCGTTAYTTTCATGCGCTAACCAAAATAATTGAAGACAGTAGTAGCAAATGTGCATTCGTGCGGGTTCAAGCAAGCGCGTTTAAAAAACTTGCAAGGTATTTTTCGTGTGTTTCTTATACATATGCACATACATAACAGGTGATCAAATTTGAACCGGACTGACAAACTTAGCAAAATGCGATACACAAAAAATTAAGAAATTTTTTTATTTTTATTTATCGATCGATTCGGTTTTATGTTTCAGTCCGCGCCAAATTTGTTGTATGTATGGTACGTATGTATAGAAACATGTGTTTATGACAACGTATCACATACACAAACGTCATATATATTTTTTTGGTATTTTTGAAAATACTGAATTGTAAAATATTTATTTTACCAATGATTTGTGACCAAATTACTAATACAAAAATTTAATTTGTTTATTATTTTTTGCATACTCACTTCAAACAAACAAAACAAAAAAATTAAAACAAAAAACATCATCAAACCACAAACCACCATTACTACTACTCTCACAACCACAACCAACACTTTCACCAATCACTATTCAACAACCACAAATCGTCCTGCTAACAAATACAACAACTACAACAAATAAACAAAATAAAATTTGTAATAAAACAAACCATTGGCGCTTGTTGCATAAATTAAAAAAAAATAATGCTTTTGGTTGTTAATGAATTGGAAATGAAAACGCATACACGAATGTCTGAAATGACGCAAAATCAAAAAAAAAAATAAAAATAAAAATAAAAATAAACGAATGCAAACAATGTGGTGCAGATTCTATCAAAAATATCATGAGCTGCGCGCACGCATAAAAGCCAATTCATGCCCCATATTACCGGCCAAGCAACAACAACTCAATAATAGTAACAACAGTAGTAACAGTAATAGCCAAAATAACAATAGCAACAGTAGCAATAGCAATAACAACATCAACAATAATAGCAATAACAGTAACAATATTAATAACAGTAAAAGTAACATCAACACCAACATTATCAATAATCCCACAAGCGCATTAGGCAACGTTTACACGCCCATTCCAAATTATTCGGTACAAAGATCGGCATCACTCAAAGATCATAGAAATTACAGGTTTGTTAATTTGCTTTCATTTCAATTTTTATAA